TACCTAACTAATTAAATTTTGTTTTACATAAGAAAAGTATTTTATTTTTGTTTAATAGAAATTAAATCTTTATTTTTGTGTTTAATTTCATTGCTAATAAATGAATTTTGAACTACCCCACAGCGTAAGAAGGTACCCCAAACACTGTACGAAGGTGCCCCGTTGATGGGGCAGATTCGTACGTTTTCCAGATTTAGTTTAAATCATAATTATGGTTGAAACATCGGATGAAATCATTTGTCATTTTTTTATTTGAATCTCAGATAGTTAGACTATAAATTTAAGCTATCAGGTGATTGATTCATGGAAAAATAAAAAAATTAAAAAATAAAATGTGAAAACCGTACGAAGGGTCCCCACCTTCCCCTACCTATTAAATACTCTTATATAATTTATATATAGAAAATCCAATAGATATAAAGGTACTATTTAACAAATAGGAATGTTCGTGATAATATTTTCTAGATTAATATATAATACGATTAATCTTATTTGTATAAAATTATCAGCATTTAAGGTGTGCACGTGCACACCTTCACATTCAATGATAATAACTTATTAAATGTATTAGGGAAGCCAAAACTTTTTATTTATCTATTATAATGCAGTAAAATAGATAGATAACTGAATGTTGCTTACAGTAATAACATCATGAAGGTTAGAAAAGGATTTATTTATTTTTCTTAATAGAAAAGTGTTAATATAATGTCACTTCTGCGTGACACACATTGTCGGTTTTTATGTCTAAGGCGATGCATTTCTTCACACGCGAGTGTTTATTTTAAGAACAAATATAAATTCTGATTAGACTCCTACTTGTCACTTATCTTTATCCAATATCATTGTAACATCAGAACATAGCACGTGGAGCATTTACCTGATAAGGGCCGAAACACTCCCTCTTCAGGACGTCAACACACTGTTTTTAAGTGCCTCATTGACGTTTGTCGAAGAAAATAGATAATTTTGCGGCACTAACGCACGTAACCGTGTTCACAGACTTTTCAACGGCAGGTTTTTTAAATAATTAAACAACTGATTAGGTGTCAACTTACAATTGACACAAGCATACTTTGAAATATACCCTGTAATCATTATTGCCATGCTTACTTAATTTTCTATCAATTAATTGTTATATTATATGTGAACAAGTTTTCAAGTTTTCCTTCATATTGTGTTCCACGTGTGAAACCAGCTGCCCACTGAAGTATTTCCTAACCAATTCGACTTAGGGTCTTTCAAGAATAGAGCGTACTAATTCTTAAAAGACCGGCAACGCACTTGCGAGCCTTCTGGAAATGTGAGTGTCTATGGGCGGCGGTATCACTTAACATCAGGTGAGCCTTCTGCCCGTTTGCCCCTTGTTACATAAAAAAAACATACATGAGCTTTGGTCATCCAATTAGTAATCTTAATCATGGTTTTATACAACAGAAGATGTTTCACCAACAAAACAATTTACAATCGACTAAAGGCTTTGTGTCAATGAATCAGTCAAAACAGTATAGGAGTTATACACAAAGTACAGGCGTAATAAAGTCAGTGAACTTGGATGAATTATCAAAATCGTATGATTGTTAATCGCATAATCAGACATCAGATTTAATACTGCGAATTTCTGTTCGATTTTTCGTTTGTGTAATAATACACAAGCTATTATAACCTTTCTAGCTAATAAAAATAAATGTTGAATTTGTAACCTGATTTTGGGTTTTGAAGATGGTTAAAACAATAGCAATATCATCTAAAACTATTCATTTGTGTAATACATACTAATGGCGCTATAAGCTTTTGGTTATGGCCTGAGATCTTGGTTTACCTTTTTCTTTGATCATCACTCTCTACACTCAAGGGGTTGATCTGCCTTCTGTGCCTGGTACACGGTCAAATTTTTTTGGGTATCCCCATCTCCAAAATGTATCGGCTTTCTGACGACGTTCATCGTATGAGCAAATATACCTTGCTGCGAGCAAGTTACTGTTCAAATAAATAATTCTACATAGATTATACTACTGTGCTACTCTATGGTTTAAGTTATGTAATAATGACGACGGCTTTGAAAATTAAAGGAAGCAATGAATAAGTATTAATCACCCTTATTTGTTTAATTTATATTCGCAGTATACAATGTACAAGGTAAACGTTAGTACGCGCAATGTCAACATCTTGTATATAACCACAGTGAGGCGTCTGTCATCTTTCCAATTGACCAATCCCAATCAAACGAAGCGCGCCATCGTTTTAATTGGTTATCATGTTCTCTACTATAGACAATAATTTAGCAAATTGATGCGATTGTATCGAAAAAATACCATTGTATAATTAATTAACCGATCATTTATTGAACAGTGAACTGATTTATGACGTGTGCTAATGAGTCTTTAGTAGGTAATTAAAGTTTTATCTTCATGAGGAACTTTCCATCATCGCTGTATTTTTCTTTAATGTAAACATTCTTATCGAATAAGGAATACGATGTAAAATTAAACATGATTTAATTTTGCGTTAATAAACAGTACAAATAATAAAATATTAAAATAAATTCGATATTTGAGCGAGTATTATATAATAAGAGGAAACAGTTGTTTTGTAGTGTTGGTCTAGTGGCTTCAGCGTGCAACACTCATCCCTGAGGTCGTAGGTTCGATCCTCGGCTGTGCACTAATGGATTTTATGTCTAAGTGCACATTTAAGCCTCGCTCGTACGTCACAAACGACACAAAGTCGACAGCGCCTGTCAGGCACAGAAGGCTGATCACAGATACAGAAATCTGAGTCCAAGATCCCAAGGGTTCTAGCACCACTGTTTTTTTTAACAGTTGTTTTGTGTATCAAATTTTTAAGGTTTTGCTTGTTCTATAGAGTCCAAGTAGCAACGGAACCGCTCATTTATTTTACGAGGTAAGACAATCTATCAGATTTTTTTTCTTAATTACTTTTATCTAGGTAAATAATATTTAGTAAATTGTAGTATAATAAGCAAGTATAGAGATTTTATTGTTTAAAAACAGCTTGTTAATTACAATACATACATAAGAAACCAATAATCAAATAATTACGTCAAGAAAACACATAAAATTTTTTTTTGGCTCTCTATTATATTATGTATTCACATTTAGAATGTGAATTCATTTAACAGGGCCAGTTCTTCTTTCGTTGCAACGTATTGTCATTAGCTAACGGTTTTTCTATTTACACCAAAATTGATTAAATTAACAACAATAACTCGTGTTAGATCAACACAAGTTTTTATTGAGTTTTAAGCTCCTATGAAATTATCGTCACTATTATAAGTATTCCTGTTTAAATTATTAATAATTGTACTAATCATATACATAATTGGTTTATTCAGAATTTACATTTGTCAACTAATTCTATATCAACATTTCGACCTCTGGCCACGTCATTGTGATGCAAGAGGAAGAATTTATTAATAAGCCGATAAGGGGAATATAAACAAAATAATACGTTATTATAAGCAGTTATGAAATTTTGAATTCTAATGTAATTTTATCGAATCGAAAATGAATGTTAATTCTTTATAATTTATCACGTACCGTTCATTGGAGATCCTAGATTCGATTTCGAGAAAATATCCAATAAATTACTTTGTTTTTAAAAATAGTTATTTAATTATCTGCACATTATATTATATTATAAAAACAACGGTTTTGCAAAAACGATTCTTGAAACGTTCTAACATAAGAGGTTTTTAAAACCTTAGTGATACCATGGCTTATAGACAGATGTCACTTTACTTAGAGCTTTTCAAAAGCTCTCAAGTTCTAAGTTATGGTTGCAGAGAGGGAGCCACCATGATGAATCAAGTTTCCAAATAAAAATATTTAAATATTCCAATTGAATATTACCAAAAGAAGTCTATTAAAATGAAGATACTATTTATGTTGTAAAAAAAACAAGATTTACATTCTAAATTTTCGCTATGTTCTATACAAAATTAAACATAAATAAATTTTTATTTGTGATTTTCAAAACCTTATAACAACACAACAACTAGACCCTTTCACGGAGAGATATATACATAGTATTTTTTAATTAAATACGCCAATTAATCTATTCTATATTATAATATAATATACATTTAAGGCTATGACATTTGTTTCACTAACTGCTCGTAAAACTAATGTTGCTAATATATGTATGTCACAGATAACAATCACTTATGCAATGATAACAAATATTTCTTATTGACTGTCGTCATCGTGTCTTTACTATGTAAGTTCTAGTTGTGCTTCTCGTAATGTTTGTTTGAATATAAACAGGAAAGTTACCGAGCACGCGTCAGGCCACTATGTCAGAGGTCTGAGCCCTTAACCTCTTTAAAAATTATCAGTCTTGTGCCTGTTGTTTATTCATAGTTCCGTAGCCTCTAATCTTAGCTTTAATTTAGCCTTGTTATTTAATCGGAGTGTTTTTTACAAAAACATGAGAAACTTGACTAATGAGTAATGACGCACGTTAAATTGTTTTGCGAGCGAGAATTTTTCATAATGCTACGTAAACACTTTAAAATAATTTTGGCTCTTAAGATGTTTCTGATTTAGTTATTAGGTGTTTAAAAAAATTGTAATGCTTAAGTTCTAGGTTATTCGGGGATAGAAGTAAAATGCAGAAATATAATTAAAAAATATTTTTTATTAAATTGTTTCTTCATTGTTCACTTTTCTGTGAAATCTTTTTAACGATAGTAAAATAACAATCCGAACCCACTCTAAGTCTGTCGGGCTCGATACATCTATACAATAAAATTAAACTTTAATATCACAATATTCTTAAAAACTATTCTGTTTAAAGCTTTGAGTTCAACTTACGAACTAAAAGGTTTTAAAACCTACACTAATAAGATGTGAGATCTAAGTTATCAAGTCACGTAGCACTAAGTCGTCGGATGAAGGCGGACACTTGCAGGGCTGGCGACTCCGAACGGCGTTGAACAGATATACCGTGGAGTCGGGTCCGCCCGCTCCTGCCACTGCGCTTTACCAGGGCCTCCACACTGAGCTCTTGGAGAAGCTGTTTGTGGTGCAGTCCAGGGGAACAGCGGTGTGCACTGGCATTGGAGAGGCTGGTGGAGAAGGTGAAACGTAGCCAGAAGAGGAAGACACCGTGGATAGAGCAGGGCTGGGTGGGCTGGCAGGAGGCGTGTCAGTGCCTGCCGCGCGCTGGATGTCGTTGAGTCTGTGGCCCAAGTGAGTCATCAGCTGAGTTCCCAGCCTCACGTCAACACCAGGGACTGATGCCAAGCAGCGGGAAACTTCATTTGCAGCATGAGTAAATCCAGCTCTGAAGCGGTCGGCGTCCACAGAAGGGTTCAGTGACAGGCGACGCTGACGGCGAAGCTTGTGAAGATGACGGACGGTCAATTCCAAAATATCGGCTTTTTCCAACTTGGCAACATTTTCGCCCTCCGACTGAAGTGCGCTGACCATTAACTCCTTTAATTCGTCAAGACAGCGGTTGATGCGAGCGCGTCTCTTGCGCTCAAGCATCGGTTTCATCACTTTGCGATATTGATAAGTGCGCGAGACCGGTTGCGGATCTTCCGAGATCGGATACGCGATATCGTAAGACATGGTAGACATTGTGTATGCGAGTAGATGTGTATGGGTTGAGCGTTGAACGCGGAATGCGGTAAGCCGGTCGGGCGGGGGCTTATATAGGGAGCGGAGGGCGCGCGATCGTGGGAACGCGCAGAGCTGTCGAGTTCCCACACGCGCCACCTGTGCGGAGCAGCTGCCGCCGGGGCGCGGGGGGACACGCGCCCGCCGCCGCGCGTGCGCGCCGTAAACAATTGCCGGCGCACGCCGCGACGTCACACCTCGCTATGGTGATTGCTGGCCGCGGATGCCTATGCACTATTGCTTTTGCCATTTGACCCCGATCCGTGTTACCCATACTCCTATATGTAGGTCTTATCCATATCAGTAAATAATCAATAGGGTGCAGTGCACATACGACAGGTTGTCGTTCTCGAGGTAGTTCTAAACCGTTATACTTGTAACTATAAATTAATATAATTTTTGTGATTAAATATAATGTTTAAATTTTTTATCACATAAATACTTGTTTTTAACTATTCTTACAGTTACTTCACTTCGGAATACAGTAGCATGATTATAAATGGCCAGTCGTTACAACTCTACTCGGCGCTTACGCAAATCGCTTGTAATTAAAGTGAATCTAATGAGTATCGCAATGTCGGGATAATCGTCGGACTATCAATCAAGCTTGGCGCCGACCACAATGGCTACGTCAATTATAGCTACTGTCCGCGGACATCAATCATGGACGCGTAATGACTATTGACAGAATACGATGTGCTCCGAAGAGTCTAATGAATATTGCGAAATGGCGCTGTCATTATCCTATTTCCTGTTGTAGCTTGATATTAACTAAAAAAATATTATTTTCTATCGTTTTAATGATAAATATAAATTATTCTGTGCGTACGTTGTAAAAATTGCATTTATCTCTGATTTAAAAAATGCTGTTAAATATTTTTGTTGTGCTTATGGTAGGAAGTAAAAATACAATAGTGTCCAGTTTCATATAAACAGGTTTTTGTATCGGCGTTTAAAGCTAGTACTAAAGTACTATTCTTAAAATATTTCCAGTTATTTTTATACAGTTATTTTACAGTTCAGGGTGAAGTTGTTTAATTTAACGACCTTGATATATAAATGACAACAAATGACTATTATTTTATTAAATTTGTTTACCGTTTGTATAAACAAGGATGAGGTGACATTTCAAATTACTCACTCGACTGGATATGCCCACGCGCAGTCTTTATACCATGTATTAACATACGCCCACTTTCCCTCGTATCAAGTGTTTTGAATATTTAAGGTTTGTTTGGGGTAAATATTTAACGTGACTCAATGATTGATGACTGCTTGAACTTTACAAATTGTTACTTGACCATAAAATCTGATTTATTTTTATGAAGTTATATATACCTGTCATTTTTGGTTTTCTATACATTATAAAGAGATTATATTTCTATTTAATATGTTGATATAAAATGTTAGTAATGACTAAATGATACATTTCTTTCCAAAATATAATAAAATATATATTAATTGTATGGTGAAGTTGAGTAGTATCTAGTAGCATGCCATGCCATAGTAATATCTAGGTGAGTAGTACTATCGTGAGTAGCATGCCAACCCAAAAGCTGACGGCGTGTCAGCCTCAGAAGGCTGCACTTGTCTATTATGAAATATCTATGATCACGAAACAGAATGAGGCCAAGACCAAGGGTTTAAGCGCCACTTTACACAAACAATATTTAATCCTTTGATATCGCTTAGTTCATATGTTATTTTGACATGTTTTGCGTCAATGGATCACTATCACTATGATGAACTTCATGGCTGTGCTTCGTGAACGAGTGATAAAGTTTTTATCGTTATCGTGGACACGATCATTATGCCGTTAATCGAAAACATTAAAGAACTCTGGAATAACGCAATGATTGATCGCACCGCAATTTTCGGAATAGCATGGATTTCGCATACTAATTTCGTATGTAGATTTTTTTATAATTGTTTTATATATTTTTCATTACTTTTGCTATCAATTTTACTTATAGTACTAGCGGTCGGTGTTTATCTCTTACTGCTACATACATTATATAAAATTAGGTCGTGACTTAGTGTAGGTACTTTTAAACATTGTAAAACTCTAATGGATTCTTATTACTGCTGCAGTATAGCAGGTTCAGTTCCGTCTATTTCTTTTTGAGTTATCTGTGACTTCTTGCACTTTAATCCTATTCCATAAAACAATTAAATTCCTAACCTATGACTTGGTAAAATGTATAAAGTGCCCGGGTGCAGGTACAGATATCGTGTATAAAGAGACGCCTAAATTTAAGATATACATAGTATATACTTATATAAGAAAATAAGTTTGAATATGTAATATAAACTTTAGATACGATTTTTTTGAATCCCCGCATCCGAAGTGTATGTACATTTCTGCGCGTGTTGGTTTTCTATATAAGCACATCGGTGACAGCGTAATCTGGGACTTGAAGAAATAGTCGATACGTTAAAACGTATATATTGGTAAGCAAAAAGCAGCGTAATCTGGGACTTGAAGAAATAGTCGATACGTTAAAACGTATATATTGGTAAGCAAAAAGCAGCGTAATCTGGGACTTGAAGAAATAGTCGATACGTTAAAACGTATATATTGGTAAGCAAAAAAGCAGCGTAATCTGGGACTTGAAGAAATAGTCGATACGTTAAAACGTATATATTGGTAAGCAAAAAGCAGCGTAATCTGGGACTTGAAGAAATAGTCGATACGTTAAAACGTATATATTGGTATGCAAAAAGCAGCGTAATCTGGGACTTGAAGAAATAGTCGATACGTTAAAACGTATATATTGGTAAGCAAAAAACGCTTCTTTATTAAAATAAAGAAGCGTTTTTTGCTTACCAATAAAATTAACATACAATGAGTGTGTATTATGTTTCACATGTATCTAAAAGCGGACAATGTAGGTAATGTATAAGAACTTTATTCTAGAGCCTAACTGCACCATTGCATCATCGCCTGTCGCTATCGGACAGTTTTAATATTTATGTATCACTTAAAACATAAGATACTATTGGTCTTGGTACCCTTTAAGTGACATAGAACCTGTTTTTTCATTCATGCACCTTGCTCTGCCATGACACTATGCATTTCATTAAATTCATTGATACGCTCATTACCATACTCATTCACCGATTTAAATCCAGTTCGTCAAATGTAATTTAGAAATATTCCACTATCTGTGTTTTAGTGGAAAAATGTCAATTATATATCATCGTACGCGTAGCGACATGCGTCACCGAACATTGCGTGCGTATCATTTAGTATATGGTATAATATGGTCTGGGTGTCACTTCTACATTAATATTTCGTTATAAGTTATTGAAGTGAAAACTTCTTTAGCGGCGTTGTACACTTTTTTTGGAATGGGTAAAAAATGTTAAACTCGCGTCAGGACACGTGACCTGATCGAAAATTCGTAAGACGGATGGAGAGTAGACTAAATAAATTGTCATGTTTGTGTACGATAGCGCAATAAATAAATATTGTATTCTACCACATCAATGATACTTCTTTTATACTGATAATTAAAGCAATTCGAGCAAAATAACGATTACAAAATATCAAAAATGCACAACGTTAATATTCAAGTTTTCACTTCTACCGTCACTCCCGGAGTGCAACCCGTCGTTTTTTTTTAATTCAGCCGGTTAACAATGTTTTCCTTTACCGTACAAGTAAGTGTTAAAGCGTAAATAATAAAATGTAGTAGGTACAGCCAGCGTTTGAACACTATCTTATGGTTAAAAACGAACGCTTGACTAGGCTAAGTTGTCGTTCCTTGTCGTCACTTGAGTTCCTTTGAATTTGTCGAATCATACAAGTTACATTGTAAATTGTCAAAATATATTTCTTGAGTAATATTAAATTAAAATTAGATATACAGTCTGGAAAAGAAACATACTTAACGAATATGACTACTTACTTATTGTTGAGTTAGTTATTCATTTGAAACTAAATATTTAGTTAATATTGTGATTGTAACTCTAAACCTAGTCGTATTGACGCTGCTATCAACCGCAAAAATTAAGTAATTAGTTATCTATTAAAACTTATCATAATTATATGGGGTAGGTATTGATAAAGTCTTGAATCCAATTTATATGAGTCATTCATTTGTGAAACGTGAACATTTAATTACCATTTAATACTGTATAATTGAAATAACTAAATATTATATTACCAAAGGAAAACATCTATTTAACAATCTAAATGTACTAAGCGTTAGGTATGAAGATATAGGTAAGGAAAAAAGGCTTACTATAAAGTTTACGATAATCTAGTTGATAAAAGGGCCTGGGACTAGTGCTAGACAGGCTACTTCTAATTAATTTGCTATATTTGTTTTAAAATAAGTGTTGTTTGATGATTTGCTATTTTAAAAGAGTACCTACCGAGAGTTTTTACGCCGGCTTTTTCTCTCGGCCTACAACCTCTGTCTTCTTTGCCGATGAGTAGGGATGCCTACAAATTCAAATTTAATGACGTGGAATAAGTGATACATGTATCTTAATATCCATAATAAACATATTTTATTTTTTTTATTTTATTTTATATCAATACTTATAAAGATGAATGGGCATTATATTTAACATTTTATATGATATAAACTTCGGCTTTTTCAAACTTTATTTATTTGTTTCGTGATTTCAACCGACTTTTTCGAATATATTAATATATTCAGGTAAGGTCGTTTATTGTTAAATGCTATTTGCGATTGATTATAGTAGTAATTATCGTCCCGAAAAATTAATATATTGTATTCAGATAAAACATTAATTAGATTATATATATAATATATTGTGGATGACTTAAGAATATTAATAAAACAAGCATACAAGTTGTTAGAAATGCAAATTATTGTATTTCTTATTTGACGCATCAAGATAATTCTTAGTATTATTTGATAAAATTTGACAATTTCTACGTAATGAATTGCAGAATTTTCCCCTGTTTAATGAATGAGGATATTTAAAATGCATCTGCGAGTGTGTTATCGCCCTATTGGGGTTAATAGTCAGTGATTGCAGCCGAGTGTAGGAATTTTCCTATAAATTACCTACATGCTGGAGCACGTGTTTGTAACTTGCAATTATTCTATTTATGTCATTATCAGCTAGTATCCAATAATAGATAATTAGTTCCTATTCGTGACGTCAATTGCAAATTGCTTATGCGTTATTAATAAGTTTGAGATAATGTAGGACCTTGTAATTTTCCATAATTTACAATAGGTAATCGTGTCTCTCGAACTTGAAAATGATAACGTTACAAACGTTCTAAAAATAACGTATTTACGTAACTATATATACAACGTACGTAGGAATATTTAACTAACTAAAATAGAATATGTTTTTATGACAACTAAAGCAAGATTACGGTTTTATACCTAAACCTACCGTCGTATTAATTAATAAACAATGTGTTTTATTTTTAAATCTCAAGTATTTTAATTGTTACTATGCTATATTTTTTCTTGTATTGTTTATGTATTGATATCGCAAA